ATTTTCTATTTTAATATATTTTAAAATGTAATTTATTCCTGTGATGTCAAAGCTGAATTTTCATCAGCCATTACCTCCAGTCTTCAGTGTCACATGATCCTTCAGAAATCATTCTAATATGTTGATTTGTTTCTTGAGAAGCATTTATTATTATTATCAATGTTGAAAACAGTTGTGCTGCTTAATTTGTTTGAGGAAACCTTTATTTGTTTGCAGGATTCTTTGACCGAACATTCAAAAACAGCATTTATTTAAAATATAAATATTTTTTTGCATTATAAATGTCTTTACTTTCAGTTCTGTTTAATGTATTAAAATATTTAATACATTAACTGAAAAAAAATTAATTTAATGCTGAATAAAATATTAATACTGAATAAAACTATTTATTTATTTAAAAAAAAAAAACACACATTAATCAAATTTAAATGAGACTAGTCTTTTGAATCTGTTTGTGTGAGACTTAAATTAAAACAGCCACACATTTTCTTCTCATAGTGACGTGACGTGTAGCCAAGTATATTCGGAATTTGTGCTCTGGATTTATCCCATCCAAATGCACATACACAGCAGTGAGTAGAGAACACACACACACCGTGAACACACCCGGAGCAGTGGGCAGCCATTTTTGCTGCGATGGCCGGGGAGCAGTTGGGCCTTGCTCAAGGGCACCTCAGTCGTGGTATTGAAGGTGGAATAATTATCCACACTGTTCTACCTTTCTTATCCAATATTGTTTTCTTAAATGCTTTTGCACTTTCACTCATATTTGATTTCATATTTCCTTAATCCCAGTATGCATGTATGGTAAATTGCAGTTAAAGTATTAGAGTAAAGTATTGCAGTATAGTAAAAGCAAGCATTTGCACAAAACTAACTCTTGGCCCTTCCATTTCACTTATATACTGTATGTCTGCATTCTTCTCCATTTAGCCCTTGAAAAGCCCTTCCTCCTGCCTACCGCCCCCATCCATGCCTCAGTCATACACTGTATATCCAAACAAGAGGGATTTAAAAGATAATTGTTCCCATATCTCTTTCGTATTTTTTTTCTGTGTTACCACAAATGTTTTGTGTCTAGAGACAAAGGATGAGTAAACAATCTCAGATTTACCTTTCAGATATCTGCTAAATAAATTTGCTTAGATGAGTTTTAGCAGCTGGTCAGAATAATCCATACAGCATCTTAATGAGGCAGATATAAAGAGATCGGAGGGGTTTCTGAATGTTTTATGTGGAGATTGCAGTGTTCAAAATTGAAAGACAATGATTCAAAGCTGTCTTTAATAAATTCATAAACAATTTTATTATTTATGTTTTCTCATTTCCTTCTGTTCCAAACTTCAAAACTAACCTCAAAACTCTGTTGAGTACACGTGTAAATTTCTTGCTGTTTCAGCTAAAAAACACGACGATTTAATATGATGTTTTAAGAGTGTTCTAAAAATAAATCCCCAAAACAGAAGCTAAGATGGAGAATTTAATTTGAGATGATATGGGAGACATCCTAATGACTTCATTTGATTTAGACGCCACCATTCCTTTACTCTTGCAGAAGAGCTACAGAAATAGCCAACAAAATGAAATTAATTTGACCTAATTTTATTAAAATGATTTACTGTTTGTTTACCAATTTAGGCCAGTGAGGGATCAGTGTTAGGATGTTTTGGTTTTGCCTCTCATGTCTGTCCTTCTCGTTGTAGGTCATGAGGATGGCCTCTTGGGAAGAGAATTTGGGTCAGCCCAATCACTCTATGCTGGAGATGGAGGGGCCACCAGATGTGTCCAGCTCCCTCTTCAATCTCAGCAGCAGTTATGGGGGCATGGAGGCTTTCCTCTGGCTGTTTCCATCAAAGAACATCACATGGACCACAACGTGGCCCACAATCCAGCCAGTTGTCCCTCCACGGGTACGGGACCAAGCCTTGGCCCAGGCGGAGATCGGGGTGCTGGGGTTGGTGCTTGCCCTCACTGCTCTGGGTAATGGATTCGTGCTGTGGGTGCTGCTGCGTAGGAAGAAACATCACGCTCCCATGCACCTCTTCATGGTCAATCTATGTGTAGCTGACCTGGTAGTGGCCTTATTTCAGGTAACAGCCTCTTGAGACTATTAAAAATTATTAGTGCTTTGAAATGAGCTTATACGGTTAAGTAATCATTGACCTGAATGGAAAAATATAGTGAGACTACATTTATTCAAATGCAGCTGAAGTATCAGGTGTGGGAGTAATGTTGTGTCAGCAGGGAAGTTCTAGATATCATTAGAGCTGCATGATTAATTGAAATAAAAACTGAGATCGTGATAGGGCTTTGTGCAATTATCAAATCTCAATAACTTTATAATAAATAAATAAATGTGCTGCATGTTTAAGAGTAAAGTGCACCACTGTTTTCTTTTACATGATTTAACGTTTGAAAAAATGAAAAAGTTCAGATAGCCATAAATATTAATATTATAATTGTACAGTAAAATAAAAGTATTAGTAGTTGTTGTAGTAGTAGTAATTAATAGTAATAATTTTTGTTTATTAATATGTTTATTTAGTAATGACTATAATAACATCGATATATAATCACAACAATTTTGATCAAATTGTACAGCCCTACAAACAAGCACAGCAAATATGGAACTTTAACAAAAAATTTAAATCGCAATTGCAATTTTTTTTGTCAAATTGTGCCGAGGGAGGTGGAGGGTTGTGATCTCATTGGCTGTAGAATCAGCAAAGGCCAATCAGCTTGTGCCATACATTAAATGACGTGACTGCATGTAAAATAACCTATCAGCCTGCGCCATCGAGAGTTTTGTGCCTGAATTAGATATATGTCTTTATTTTGTCCCAGGTGCTGCCACAGTTGGTGTGGGACATCACAGAGCACTTCCAGGGGCCTGACGCTCTGTGTCGCTCCGTTAAGTATTTGCAGATCGTCGGGATGTTTGCATCCTCCTATATGATCGTTGCCATGACTGTGGATCGGCACTATGCCATCTGCTGCCCCCTTCAAGCGTATCGCGGAGGTGCACCCTCCCGCTGGAACACCCCCATTATGGTTGCGTGGGGCCTGGCCCTAGTGCTTAGTTTGCCACAGGTGAGGAGTAAGCAATCTCAAATCGTTCCTGACTGATTTATTTAATTGCATCACAACTATTTTTTCAAGCTCATGACTGTCTCCTCGCTTGCACGCAGGTGTTTATCTTCTCGCGGTCAGAGGTGTCCCCTGGGGTGTTCGAATGCTGGGGCCACTTTGCTGAGCCGTGGGGTCTTAAAGCATACGTCACCTGGATGACTGTGGCTGTATTCGTATTGCCAGCCTTAATCATCACTGTCTGTCAGGTATCTCCAGCTTTTTTTCTCAATCTCTCACTCTCTACACATCTTTTTAATATTAAATATATGGTTTTGACATATCTTGTCTAACAATGTTTTATAGCATAAGAACATGGTGTATATTATGCAAATGTCAAAGACTTGGCATGTTTAATAGGAATTAGATGTACCGCAGTATTGGGGGAAATTCAGAATTTAATAATTGGCTCCTTTTCAATTCATGAGTTGGACATGACTTTGAATGACAGGAAGAGGAATGTACTTAATTGTAATTCAAAGAAATTCACTATAACATCACAGAGGAATTTCTGTAGTCCAGAACAAGTTTGCTAATAATTTTGATGTCTTTTGGCTTTCTTTTTACTTATTTTGCAATGCCAAGGTCACTGATTTGATTCCCAGAATGCATGAACTAATAAAATATATACCTTGAATGAAACGCAAGACAATTTGCATACATTGCCTGCCTGCCAAATGCATAAATGTAAATGATGTATACAAAACATATCCCATACGAATGTATTTAATATAAATTAGTTTGTTTCTTCTTCTTCTTCTTTTTTTTTTTGTTATCAGTAATGCACATTAGGGTGTTTTGTGATGCATTTACTGTTATTTAGTTCATGTTTATTGCATTATTTTAGTGTCATGTGACCCTGTGCACAATCTAAGAACACGATTTCCTCAACAGATTAGGCATATTTATCTGAATTAAGTTTAATTAAGGTTAATACTGTCAAAACAAAGATTTAAATTTTCCCATACAGCACCATAAAATGTCCACCACACGTTACTGCACTTAGCAAAAATAATGTATTCTTAGTTCAATTCTAAATGGCACATGACTCTGAACCATGATAGGAATATTTTTACATTGATGAATCTCTTTCATCCCAGGTTCGCATCTTCAGAGAAATCCATGACAACATCTACCTGAAGTCTGAGCGGGTGGTGACGGCAGAATTTAAGAGGAACTCTGTCAGCTTCCACTTTGCTCAGCGGGAGGTGGGCAGTGGACGAGGCAGAGAGAGAAACAGACAGAGCAGACACAGTCACCATGCTGACAGCAGTCTCAGTCAAGCTCACTGCAGCCCCTCACATCATGCAGGAGAGGAAGCGTGCTCCTCAAGCCTATATGATGACTATTCTCATACTGTAACCTGTAAGAGCTCTATCTGTGAGCCCTGCTTTGGGCCCCGCCCCTCTTCAGACAGCTCCTCCCCCTCTATCCAAACTCATCTGCAAAACACCCCCAATCATCTCTCAGGCCCCTCCCATTCTCAGTCATTATCAGCCAATAGCGTGTGTGCACTGGCTGGACACCCAAATAGCTCTGGAGCTTCTGAACTGTGGCCAGATGCTTTTCCCCTTCCGACCGATTATTCGCACCCACCGCCTCTCCCAGGTGTGACTAAGGCCATGTCTAAGACGGTGAGGATGACTCTTGTCATTGTGCTGGTCTACACCATCTGCTGGTCTCCTTTCTTTATTGTTCAGTTATGGGCAGCCTGGGACCCCAACCCACCAAAACAAGGTCAGACATTAAGCAAACTTAATGAATATACATGTCCTGTACAGTCACACAATAAGGCTTCTTGGATGCTAAAAACACTATGATGTATTTTTAAATGGGTTCATATCATAATAGGCAATGTTCTGAAATAGGAAGTTGTTGTACAATAAGGCAGCACATTTCATCAAGCCATAGAAACAAAATAACGAAGAAGAGATTGTCCACTTGTCAAAAATTAATGGGAGAAGTCGCAAAGCTCAATATAGTGGCCATAGGTATGGAAGTCCTGCTGTTCAGTTAAAAGAAGCAATCAATTTTTTGATACAGACTACAGACTTTTATGTGCATGTGCACTAGCTAAGCCAGAGATTTTTTTCAGGGTAATTTTAACTAAAAAAAGCAAAATTTAGTATACCATTGTCAAGACTGTTTTTCTGAAAAATTAAAAAAAAAACTTTTATTCAGCAAGGATGCATTAAATTGATCAAAAGTGACAGTAGAAACATTTATAAAGATTTGTATTTCAAATAAAGGTCATTTCTAATCATCAAAAATACTGAAAATGTATATCAATGTTTCCAGAAAAAATATGAAGCAGCAACAGCTTTCAACATTGATAATAATAAATGTTTCCTGAGCAACCAATCAGCATATTAGAATGATTTCTGAAGGATCATGTGACACTGAAGACTGGAGTAATGATGCTGAAAATTCAGCTTTGCCATCAGCAGGGTGGTGTTCATAACAAAACAAGCAACACGTTCTCCAGGAATATCTCAAAAACAGTGATGCCTGTTCTTGGAAATCTACCTTCCAGCAGAGTTTTGTTCCAAGTACAACCAAAAACACATGAATCAGTTCACCAGGATATCTTCAAGGTTGCTTGGAAATTGTAGGCAGGTGTGTTAGAGCTTGACTGGAACTGAAGTCTATGGGAGGGGAGATTTCCAGGAGCAGAAATAATCAATCATGTTTTCAACGTGTTCCCTTTTTTATTATTTCTCTCTTTATTTAACTGTCCCCTGCTTTCTTTCCCCTTAACACATAAACAGACAGACACCTGCTCACTCACCTGAGTGTTGGGTAATCTCATTGGTATTTATACCTCTGTATTAGACTGGCCTTTCTGCACAGTTTGACCAGCCACCTGGCAACCAAATCACTATGAAAATCAGCACAAACTTACTTCTATAGATGCATTTTAGTCTTTTATTTAAGAAGTGAGCCCTATATTGAAGTCAGCCTTAAACTGTGTTCCATATGGCTTATAGTTTGCATCTCACTGAATTGTTTTTCATTATACATTACTGTACAAAAATGTCAGTAAAGACATACGTAATGTTATAAAAGATTTCTATTTCAAATAGAAATTGTAAACTTGTTTCTTGAGCAGCACATCATATTATAATAATTTCTGAAGGATCGTGTGACACTGAAGACTGGAATAATGATGCTGAAAATTCAGCTACAACTACAGAAATAAATTACATTTTAAAATAAATTCAAATAAAAAAAACAGTTAATTATTAATAGTTTAATTTATTTATGGTGGATTTCCTGGCAAACATTTACCTTGTTTAACTATGTTATCTGCCCTAGTTACAGCAGTTATTGTCACAACTGTAAAATCATAATATATGAATATGGAAACTTCTTCAGACAGTGCAAGAATTCATTTATTTAATAATTTATTTTATTCTTCAGGCTTTTTCTGTCACTATTATTATTTGCACTGATTGTGTTACAGGCTTTAATACTAATACTTTTCTAAGGAATCTTAAGACTTTCACCTGATAGATGATAAAACAAGGGAAAATCTCATAGACCTGCACATATTATTCACACAAAGATATTTCAATACAGTAAGAGCTGTCAATGCAGTAATAAATGCAAATGTTATTTCCTGGCTTTGAGTTTGCCTTTATCTCTCATGCAGGAGCTGCTTTCACTATCCTGATGCTTCTAGCCAGTCTAAACTCCTGCACTAACCCATGGATCTACACAGCCTTCTCCAACAGTGTGTCCCGTGAGCTGCTCGCACTGCTGCGCTGCCACACCGGATCCCCACGCAGAGGTTCACTACCGGACGACTCAACCACAACTCACATGTCATCCAACACCAAGGACTCCACATACTGACCTCTGGCCTGACTCGACTACACGGCAAACACACCACAGACGTGATGGGCTAGACCCTGTCCCAAATGCCACTCCTTGCCCACATGTTGATGACATAATAGCGCATAAACTGGCTCGTAAACTGCTTTTTAGAATTTGAAATGACAAATGGGATGCCCTATATGGTCTTGTGAACTTCACAGACAAGTGCCAACTGCACAAGTGTGCAAAAAGTGTGCCATTTGGTACAGGGCTAGGAAATGTCCTGGCTACTTTAGATTCAGGTACATGGCGGTCACACAATCTGAAAAGCAGATCTGTCATCTACACTGTTACATCAGTTACAAAGACAAAATCACATTGCCATGTCCAGTGCATTTTACAGATAGCTGTCCATTCAGTTACATGAAAGCAGACTGGAGTGATGAATGAAGAGGAAGAGGAGGCGGATGGGTTAGGAAGCAAAGGATCGGATGTCCTCCATTCTTCTCGATCTCTCTTTATGTCTCATCCAAGTGTTTTCATAGATTAGGGTTGCAGGATTATATCAGACTTTACAGTACAAAGTAAGAGTGCAAAATGCGATAGTGGGAAGAGAAAAAAGGCATGTGAACAATGCATACAGAATGGACAAAAGGTTATCTAGCTGTACTCCGGACAGCTTCAGAAGACCAGCGGCAAGATGCTGCAAAAGAGAGTGTCCGAAATTTAGAGGAACATATCCACCACCAGCAAGAATGTTACTATGACAATATCAGCCTGATTGTGGGAATCAAACACAGTAGCAGCTTAGTAACACAGTGACTTTCTGAATCATATTTAAACTATATATCAAATGTAAAGTGTTCAGAAGACACTGTGAGTTGAATTGGTCTACAGTATTAGCTATTAATAGATTAGAAGTGCTGGCAGTGGAAGGTGTTACATTGGGCAGAAATCTATATTTGACCGCCGATGGACACAAAAGCTGAGCAGAATGAAATTTCATTTTCTGTGTTGGTAATTTTAGTAGTTTAATGTACCAAAGCAAAGAAATAACACATTGTTTAGAAGCTGTTGACTGTGTATTGCATTTCAGTACAATCATTACTATGTACATTTCCTCAGTCCTGGAAAATCCTTGTAAAAATCATGGAGAAAAAAAATAGCTTCTTTTTGTATGCTTAAGGTGAGAAATAAATTTTTTTTTAACAGAAGAAATGGTAATGGCAAATGAACAGGAATATACAGGTCAATTTCCAATCTAAATATTGTAGGTAGCAAAATCTCTATGTTGTGTATACAGTAGTCAACATTTGAAGTGGATCAAAAAAGTTAATCAAAGTTGTCCTAAGACAAGAACGCATTTTGGTTTTAGGTTTTAGGACAACTTTGGTGAAAGGTTTTGATCCATTTCAAACGTTGACTAGTGTATATGTACACACTAATCACACCGATTTCAGTCTCACTCATTAACTTGTCACTCTTTTAGCTCTACCTCTGGTATTTGCTTGATTTTTGTGTTACAATTTTATATTATTTTTTTCTCATCTGGAATCAGGGGACCATTTACATGCTTCAGAGTAACGTATTTGTACAGAAAATATTATAAACATTATAAATATAATAAAGATGTGTTGAAGGATTAAGAAAAAAATTATTACATTACAACTTAAGCGCCTTATTATTAAAAAAGTATTATATACATATATGTATGCGTATCTTTGTAACGCACAGATTCTTGAGGTACTCGGTCACTGCAAGAATTCAGTAGTGTCTAGTTCAATCTCACACTTTTGCTTGCTAATCCCACCACTGCGAATTATTATTATAAACATGCATTTTAAACATAAATTCAGTCTGGAAGTCCAAAACTCGCTTACTCTTAGTCTACACAGCTTGAGAAGAAATAAACTCCCATTTTAGGGACATTTTTTGAAGTTTTGAAATATATTGACCTATCACGTTTCACATTTCAAAAGGACTGAAATTCGAAAAATGCATTAATATTTTCCCCATTTAACAGAAAGGAATTCACAACAAATCATGTAATTTCCATGAACAAGCAGTTTTGATTAGGACAAATATACTGTTTCTCAATATGATATTTATTGTCTAACAGAATAGCAATGACTGTGGTTAACTGTAAATTACTAACCATTAGATATTAGTAAGAATAGTGATATTGGAAACATTGAGAAAACTAACTGCTAGTGAACTTTTTGTTATACTTAATGCGTAATGACGTATAATCATAAAATCATTTAACATATTTAATTGACAAGATGTCCAGTACCTAAAATATGATCAACGTTGTAATAAATTCTTTTTTTTTTTTTATATATATAAATTTACTTTGTTGTTGTTCTTTATTTTGGTCCTTCTTAATTTCTTCATAAGGCAAACTTTTGTTAATAGGACAAGCCATAAACTGCTGGAAACTTCACTTCAAGAAAACCATTTTTTAAGCAATAACAGTTCTAGGCAGTATGTGCTCTAGAGTCTCATCCAGTGTGTTTACATTACTTTTCATCAGATAATTTAGAGTTTATATTTATCTCACCAGAAGCTTTGCCTACATGAAGAGGAATTAAAGTTTTGACCAGTTGTAAAGGGACAGAGTTTTTGATGCACTGGCTGATATGGAAAATGATTGGAAAATTAAAATGTTTTATTTTCCAAAGGTACTATTCATGTCTTTATATGCTTAAAACCTAAATACACATATATATATATATATATATATATATATATATATATATAAATAAATACTGGATGATTAACTTCAGATAAGTATGGACATAAGAAGTATGGAAATACGTTGCAAACATTATATGACATAGTTCCACTGTTCATTAAAGATTAATTACTTTTATGAGAATTGACTACTGATAGTAACACTTACCCTGTCTCTTGCGTCAGCCTCTACTGTTCCTCATCCTGGATATTTTGTGGCATGCGAATGTTGTTGGAAGGGCTTATGAAACAATACAACTCAAAACCGGCATGCATTAGATATGGATTTCCAGTGCAGAGAGGACAGAAGAAACTGTCTGCTTGTGGATTTGCTTTCAGTTTACTCTGCCTCTGCTGAATGGCGTGCTTTATCTCACGGGAGATGACCCCGTGTCTGGGGTCAAAAGAGGTGGCCGCATGTACCTGTCTCTTTCCTTTATGCAAAGAAACCTCCCATTATCTTTAAATCAAACCAAAAACATGACAGTCTTTTTTTTTCATCTCTGCATCTCAAACAAGAAAACCACACTGCAGCTGGACTGTATAAGGAGATGCTTCTGTGTTTTAAGGGAAAATGTAAGTTTAATTCCATTTGACATTGCTGGCATAAGAGTACTAGAAGATGTGTATACTGTGGTTCCTCTCTTAATCTAAAATCTCAGTTTGAGTGCTACTGCAGGACCCTCTACAAAGATGAAGTGATCATCACCATCAGAGGACACTTAGAAAGAAAAGATTGACTGTAATGCACACCACATTCTTACATGTGTGTTAAACCCTGTTAACTGGTTATTCAAGCCTGTGGTGTCAACTCTTAAAGAGCCACATGGGATACTAAGAGTGAACAGAGTGAAATGGATGACTGGATATGTCCGGAATGGAATACTAGCTTGCTACTTACTGAATACTGTGTAGAGGTGCATACAGTGTAATAATTATATAACACAAAAATGTTCAAAAGTTTGGGGTTGGTAAGATTTTAAAATGTTTTTTTAAAAGAAGTCTCTTATGCTCATCAAAAGCTGCATTGTTTTTTACATTCACTGCTGTGTGTGTGCGCACTTTGGATGGGTTAAATGCAGAGCACTAATTCCAAGTATGGGTCACCATACTTGGCCACATGTCACTTCACTCACTTCACTGACTATATATTCTCATATTGCGCTGATACACATACTTGAGCATTGGAATAGTTGTCTTATTCTGAGGGAGAGATGATAAAGGGAAAATGAACTTTTCTACTCTTTATGGATACATAAATCTGTCTAGATATTTGGAGACATCGAGAGAAGGTTTTCTGAGCTGGAGTGCATGAGGTGACAAACACAAATGTATTCTCCAGTACTAAACTTTTCTCTGCGTGAACCTACAGAAAATGCAATTTAATATATTATGCAAGTTAACTTTCCAAAAAGAAAAGTAAAAAATCTTTCATATTATCTCAGATTTTATACGAATTCATAAAAGCTTCAGCCTACATCTGTTCATTGGCAGAAGATGAAAAAAAATCTGTTTCTGATCATGCACATTTATAACCTCTGTTCATTCGTTTTTTTTTTTCTTTTCAGTTTTCCCTTTGCTCAAAAAACAATTGCCATACACTCAAAAAATGCATTGTTTATCAAATACTCAATTTAGCTGTCATTTATTGCATCTGAGGTTTAAAAAAAAGTAAACTGAAGCAGCATGATGCTGAGACAAGCCAACACATAAAGAGAACAAAGCAAAGAATCTGTTGGCCGCTTCCATCTTACAATGTTGCACTCTGCTGACACATGTTGGTGAACCATGTGCACCACATCTAGACTCTCAACGACAGAGACCACGAAACAACCTTCAAGAAAGCTTCAAAGAGTCAGTTTAGAGAAATTACAGCTTTATTGAGTTGCAATGTTTAATGGATGAAAACGGCAATGACAAAACCAGTGGCAAGTGAATGAACAGGCAGATCAGCCTATCCCTTCCTATCTAACATCAACCTCACCCGTCCCATGAGCTGGGGTTAAAGAGAGAGGTGTCATAAAGAGGACTGTGGACACTGCTGTACTGTCCCAGCCATTCAGCTGGCACAACAGGCATTCTGGGCTCACCCGCTGGACCAGAGAAAGCTGCTCAACCCTTTCTCAGATACAAGGGGGAGAACCAGACGACCTTATCTTCTGCTCAAAGTCGCAGACTGAATGAGAGAAGAAATAAGAGCTTGTCTTGCACATCATCCATTTGTCTCAACACAATCATTCAGAATTAACTGCTGCCCCTAAACCCATGACACATGTTGTCCATATTCTAATGAATCAAGAACCAGTCTAACCTAATCTAACCAGCAGAAGGTCACTCTAGTCAGGAAACTGAACCACAAGAGAGAACATTAACCTCATTTTACCAGGCATATGTCAATGTTACAAGGATGTCCTATTAAGACTATTAAGTGGACCGTACAAGATCAACAACATGAAAAACACTTGAAATTGGGATAATTGCATTTAAATCTTTGACGCCAAATAAATATTGACTGTATCATTAAATATCTTGATTAAACCAACAATTAAGATTATTCAGGCCCCAGGATGCATTGGTGTGACAGTGTCTCCAGCTTTGACACATTAGTCAGATGGCTTAAAAGAAAACACTTTTGATTGTCATTTTAGGATCATTGCTGTTCAAAGCGTTTGATTGATCAGGAACTCATTGGAATGTTTTCTTAGTAAGCCTGGCTTTATTTTAGTGTGAGGTCTCAAAGCCGCCACCTCATAAAGCAGAAAGAATTGAGCTCCGGATAAGGTTTAAACTGGGAAAATGTCCCCAAAAATGTTTTCTAGAGAAAGGAATCGTTCACCCAATAATGTCAATTTTATTTCATTATTTACTCAACCTCATGTTATTTTAAACCCGTATGTTGTTATTTTTTCAGAGGAACATGAAATGAGAATTTTGAGCACTTTTCCATATAACCATAATTACCCACTCACTCAGTGATCTGCTACTCGAGTTTTGTTTGCGGACAGCAAAATGTGACTTTGTTACTCAGTATTTTATTTTTTATTCCAACACAAATATCTATACATTCAACATTTCCTTAAGAAGCATAAATATGATTTTTTTTTTGTTTTCTGGAGAAAAAAAAAGTGAGTTTAAACTTAAAACAAGAAAATATCTGTGGTAAGAAAAATCATAGTAAGAAAAATACTTTTTTTCTTTTCAAAAGAAAAAAATTGTCAATAGGGTATGAATAAACTTGATTTCCCCTTGAATTAAGCATGAACTCAACTAATTGCGATACATTTTTTAGAAACAAGATGTCATTTTGCTTCTCATGTAAAGGTTTCTTGATTTAAGAACATTTAGATGTGTGTGCTTGGAAAAAAAAAAATGGAGTAGACAAACCACTTTTTGCAGGGTCTGGCTTCAAAAGGACCACTTTTGTGACATGTTTGATAGACATGGTCACTATGATCGGTCGTATAGAAAACTGTAGCCTGTGTTCCACGAAAATGTAAAAAATCAACATATAGCAGCATAAAGGTTTTTAGCAACATGAGGGTAACTAACTTGGCTTTTTCATGTTTGGGTGTACTATCTTTTATACCAACAGCTGGTAAACATTGAAAAACAGCTCAATCTGGAAAAAAGGGAAACAAAGTGGAGGTGTGTGTGTTTGAAAGAATGAATTGGAGAACGAGAGATGAAAATATGTTTGCTTGTTGTCCATTCCATCTCCCTCCAGGTAAATGAAAACATTTTTGGTCTGTTGCTCTCAACCCTTTGGTTGAACAGGGGGAGGAAATGGACAGCAGAAGTTACCACACATACTCTGTCCTTCACACAAACACCATGTCTGTTATGGCCACACACATTCAA